TTCTCTCTTCACCATTGCAACTCACCTCTGCCCTGTACCTCGTCTGCAATAGAACAAGTCAAATAACAGAAGTGGAGTGTAGCTGCCCTGGACAGAGGCACAGTCTGATGGCCTTTGGTCCTCCTTTGCTGGCCAGCTTTCCCAAGCCCCAGTTCAGTAGGAAGTGAGGACCTTACTCATTAGACTGAGCTGTGCATTGCAGGATGTTGAAAGCCTGGGTGTCTAGCACTCTTCAATTGATAATTACCAGTATACTAGAGTGAGAGAATTCAGCTTAAGATATTTGGGTGTTCCCAGGGTGCATCGCTGTTTTAATATTCCTGGTGAATTATTTTCTCCTGCCTCAGTAGATGGGGTGGGAATGGGAAATAAGGGAACTAACACTTGTAAGCTAACTTCTCCGCATGTGCCAGACACTCTGTAAGCACTTTACAGGTGCTGTTCACAACCAGCACGTTTGCTATTCCCACTGTAGGAAGAAAAAATGGAGTTTCAGGGAGAGGCACACAGCCAGTAAGTAGAGCGACTCCAAAGCTAAATTCAGAGCTGAAGCATACCACATACACACCAAAAAGGACAGGGATGAACAGTCTTGGAGAACAGCTTCTCGTGGAATTCCTATCTCCTTTTCCCCACATGCGATTAGTCCTGCAGATCCCGCTTTCCCAGTGTATTTCATCCTGTCCCCTTCCTGAATATTCTAGTGCTACTCTTCTATCATAGTTTAGCCCCCTTTCCTTTTCATACCACCTCCAAAGTCGCCCATCACCTTTCCTTGTCTCTTAATTCCTAAGCACTGCCTGTTTGCAGGAGTGTCCAACCTGCAACCTGGGGGCTGCATGCTGATTTTATGAGGTTTGTTGTTATTGTTGTTGTTTATCTGTGGTATTGAATATTACAAACTTTTGCATATACAGACTTTTGTTTAGCTAATCAGCTTTCGTTAGTGTTGGTGTATTTAATGTGTGGCCCAAGACAACTCTCATTCTTCCAATGTGCAGCAGAAAAGAAAAAAGGTCGGACACCCATGGCCTAGAGAGAAATACAGTCTCCCATGGCTAATCTATAAGACCCCTGGGATCTGCTTTCCACCAATAACACCTAACTATCTTCTGTATAATCTTCAATCCCTTCAATATAAAATCGTCTCTGTCTTTCAGTCATGTCTCTGCTGGGGCCAGCCCTTCCACCTCCTCCTATACCTGAAAACCTAATTTATCCTTTAAATTTATCCTTTTTTCTCAAATAGCACTTCTTCCTTGAAGCCAAATGCTAGAGAATAAGCTCCTTTCTTTCCGGTTAGAGAATAAGCTCCTTGCAGGTTAAATTCATGTCTTATTCAACATTAGCACCTAATCATGCACTGGGCCAAGGTCACATAACCGACCAGAGGCAAAACCCAGTTGATGACTCCTTCAGCAACGTTCCTTTTAATAAACACGTTGCTTGGGGCTTTGTTGGAATCTCAAGAGAGTTTCAAGCTCTTCCCTTGTGCTACTCAGAGCACCCAAAGCAAACTGTATCATCAAATGTGTGTCCTTCAAATACACAGGATGGACCTCTGATCCCACGCTTGGACAGTCCATGACAGGTTAGCTATGGAGTCACGAACTCTTAGGATGGCATATGGAGGATTTGATCAACAGAAGTGTGACATGACAAAAACAATCAACCAAATAACATTTTCTTACCCCTCCCCCCAAAATTGTTACGATATTGGAGCAAATTCACGAGCAAATTTTTATTATTCTCTGGTGACCAAACTTCCCACAGAACAGATTTTAATTGAACTAAATGGCCCTTTCTGCCATGCTCCACATCTCTCACATTTGGCAAGAAAATTTCAAAAATAGCATTTTACCTGTCGGGCTCCTCATTTCAATAAATACACATTCCAACAAGCTACTCTGGACATCGTTTCAAGTTTCAGGGGAACTAAATTTGGGCATGGTTTTGAATTTCTAGGCAACTAACTTGGGTACTTATTTCCAAACTGGCAGGCATTTCAGAGTGAAGAACAAGGAAGTTGTTAAGCAAGACTCTGAACTGACCTAGGACAAAAGCAGGAAGAGGTATAGTTTGGGGTGGGAGAAAAAGTTTCTCTATCTCACATGAATAACCTGCATCGGAACTTTTTTTAATAAGAAAAGGTATCTTCTTCTCCTTTGCTACCAACCACCCACATATACTGAATGACCAACTCTGGTCAATTTTTATTTCCAAAATACTTCTAAAATCGAAAGGTATTTCCCTTTCCTTTGCTACTGCCACTCACATGCACTTAATGACCAATTCTGATCAATTTTTATTTCCAAAATACTTCTAAAATCTCATGATTCTTCCCTGCAGCCCAGATACCAATATTCAGACCCTCATCAACCCTCACCTGGATTAATTTTCCCCCCATTTATTTCTAAAACCATCATTCAGTGCTTCTCAAACTGTGGGATGTATAAGAATGACCTGGGATTCTTATTTAAATGCAGTCTATTCAATGTGAGACAACAAGAATGAAGACTTTTATGATGATCCAATTCTGCTTAATAGATAATAAATATATTTTCTTTTCTTCATGATTTTCTTAATAACATTTCTTTTCTCTAGCTTAGTTTTTCATAAAAATATAGCATACGATATATATAGCATACAAAATATATGTCATTCTAACAGTTATCGGTGAGGCTTTTGTTCAACAGTAGGCTATTAGTCAGTAAGTGTTTGGGGACTCAAAGGTTATAGGCAGATTTTTCACTATAGGGACAGTCAGTCCCCCCAGCCCCCCTGTTGTTCAAGACTCCACCGTACTTATCTGTTTTTCTACAATACCAGAACCTCTTTTCATGTAAGCAAGGTGCATTAGTTTTTGCCTAACTTCCCATATGGGAAGTACTCAATAAATAATATCTACTTGAATTTATTCTCAGATGTTATCACACCCCACACAACTGGTTTCCTTATCCCATAAAGCAAGTTAGAATTTAATAAACCCAGTTCCAGAACCTCCTGACTCCCTTAAAAGGAATAGAAATCAGTTCTTAATTCCCTATCCCACTTTTAAATGAACCAAGGAAATAGAATTATTGTAAGAGACCTAGAATAGGATTTTAAAGCAAGCAAGAGGAAAGAAGAAAATCGAAAATCTAAATACAAAATAAATCTCTGTCAACAGTACAGCAGAGTTTTAAGAGGCACAGTCTTTAAAGACAGACTGAGGAAACTAGAATCCCAGCTCTTATCTACAGGCTGTGTGATTTTGAGCAGTCTGCAGGAATTCTCTGTGCCTCAGTTTCCTAATAGGGCACAAAGAATATCCGCTAGTGTTGTTAAGACATATAAACGCTAGAGCACATACTAGCAAAGGTTCTCTGTAATGTGCCAGAAAGCACTTATTTTAGGCTTTGCAACACAGTCTTTCTCTCAACTATTCAAACAGAAAAGCAGCTATAGATAATATATAAATGAGCATGGTTGGGTTGCAATAAAACTTTATTGCAAAAACAGGTAGTGGGCCAGATTTGACCAAAGGGCTGTAATTTCCTGACCCACGCAGAAGACCAGTGGTTGGCACAAATTTAACTTATTAATAGTATGAATCGTTGTTATTTTCCTTGGAGAAATGTCCTTCCTGGTGAATGACTCAAGCTGCAACCTTCAATCCTGTTCCCTCTACAATGAGAACACATCTTACCTATTTGTATTAATTGGAATCAATACAAAACACGCTGCCACCTGAGACTCACTACCTCAGAAGATTTCTCGCCATTTCTCATTTATGTTGGTCATCTGAGAAATACAGCCTCCCCTGAAAATTTGACCATTCTGGAGTGCAAAAGTTCATTTGAAAGATCAGTAGGACATGGTGATGGGAAATGCACTGATAGCAGCTGCCTGCCTGATGTGAATGATCTTGTTCATTCGCAATCATTCATACTGAATGATGAACTGTTTGTTAATAATTGTGTTAAATTAAATCCAGACAACACTCAATGAAGCCAAAGCACTAATCTGCTGAATGTGGAATAAAGCACTCCTTTTCTTCTCTCCAGTATAACATTTCCACTTAGACTGTAGTACCAAAAAAAATCCCGACTTTCAGAATTATTTAGAGATTTCTGACAAGCAAGTCAGGGCATCAAACAGATAGATATCCTAGTTGTGGTCATTGTGCTGCTAAATTATAGGTACCATGACTTTACTATTTCTGGTATGTGCTTCAAGAGCTTAATACACACCACAAACACACACACACACACACACACGGAACTTAAAGAAGCCACAACTGCTTCTTTTTTATATCAACTTTGCAAGCAAAAATGTTTTCTGCAGGGTTTGTCTAGAAGTTGTTGCTCTCCTCTGCCCACACAGTCCCCAGCTTGTTAGAGCTTTCAAGTGTTGTCTTCATCTGTGGAATCTGGACCTGCTGCACAATGTCCTGTCTTATGCTGCAACCCAGAGTAAGACGGGACATTCTCTTGCTCAGTAATGCTCTCAGACACTTCCAGGAGCCTCCGCCCTCCCTCTCATTTCCGGGCTACCTGCTCAACCCAGTGCACTCCAGTTGCTTTAACTCTTGCCATGCACACCTTTGAGCCAATAGTTTCTCCCAGGCTGGGAGATTTCCATGCTTTCCCAGGTACCTTAACCAACAACAAAGGAAACAGCTCAGAAGAGGTGGGAAGGGCCTTCTCTCACCTTCCTAGGCACCTGCTCCTTTGCAGAGTGTCTGCTTTGGTCCCCACCCTGAACTAAGCACTTCATCTCTGCCCCACATTCAGGCTCAACTGTAGACTAAGATTATCCTTTGAATGGATGTTCAACCAAATCTCCACTGGCAATGAATTCCTCAAAACAGTAGGTTGGACCTTTCTGTACAATTTTCAGGCCTGGTCCTATATTTAGAGAAGGGTGCCAGCTCCTCCACTGTCTGGCAGTGTCAAGAGTAACTTGCTGCTTTACTGCTATTATTCCTCATTTCCTGTCCTTTAAAACATTTTGTCAGCCTGGGCTCACACATGGCTTCGCTTCTACCTGGATGGAATGTCAAAATGTACAGATTCAGATCTAATTCTGAACAGTTTGGATAAACCCCCATGCTTGCTGACAAACTGGACTCATTTTTCAAATGGATCAGATGCTTTTCTTTCTCTCTAACAAGTTAGATTTTATTCATTTTGTTCATTTGGGTGTGTATGTTATGTGGAGAAGGTGGGTGTTAGAAGTGACTGTCACTTTCAAAGTGGAAAATACTTAGAAAAGTATAATGCTTGATATTAAGAAAACTACCTTTCTCCCTGAATAAGTTAGCTCTAAGCAGTCGCTCTCTGCTGAGCTGCATGTGGAGAAATGTTGACTCACCCAACAGCTCCACTTTCCCTTCCCTGGTGTCTTGGAGAGGTGAAGGGGCCTGTGTCCCCAGTGTTCCTTAGGAAGGTGTGGTCTCAGAATTCTCCCCTCAACATACCTGATGTC